AATTACATATTGATAAGAACATATGTCACAACAATATATATTATTTTTTTTTAGAAAATCTCGATGATATGAATTTTTTTTATTGATATCGAAAAAAGCTTACACTTAGTCAGGAGGGATATAAACCTAACTCCTCATAATACAAGAAAAAATGATAAAAAAAAATACATGAAAATGAGGGGGACATAAACCAAACTCCTCTTAATACAAGAAAAAAGGATTAAAAAATACATGAAAATGAGGGGGGACATAAACCTCACCCTTTTAGAAACAAAAACAACAAAGATACAAGAAAAAGAGGGGGGGACATGAAACCTAAATGTCTATACTTGCAAAACTGAACAAGGAACATCACAAGGTTAAGAGAAAAAAAAACAAGAAAGTGAGACAAACATGTATGCCGAGATGCACATTAATTTGAAAAACGGAAGCCATGAAAGTCAACATAGTTTGAAAACAAAACGGCACAAACCGCCATCGGAGGGAAAGCATGACATACCAAAGTTGGAGAATATAAGGCCATGTTAGCAAAATTGTCCACAACTACATTTCCTTGCAATATATGTGAGAGACATGGAAAGTCATCTTTTGAATACGGTCTAAACAAATAGACCATTGCATATGAAGAGACCAAGGAGGATCAAAATCAGTCGATTGGAGAGCAGAAATAACACTATAAGAGTCACTTTCCAGCCAAAGACAATGTCAACCCCACTGATATGCAAACTCTACACCAATAATAATTGCTGATAATTTTGCACAAAAAGAGTTGCGATGACCAATCTCTTGGCAGAAACCACCAAGAAGCTGGCCATAGGAATCCTGAAAAACTCCTCCACAAACAGGAAGACCAAGATTTCTTTAGACAAACCATCTGTATTATGTTTAATCTAAGGAAACCAAGGAAAAGACCAAAGCACAGGAAGAATAGTTGGTGCCTTGCGAGGGATAGGTTGGATCCCTAGAAAAGAAATGATACGAACGTCAAAACCCTGAAAATAACTAGGAATAAACTTCCCACCATAACGATCCCAAAATTGATAGACATGCAAAGACGATAAAAATAGATTGGGCGACCCTCAAAAAGTAAACTTATTTCGAGCTTTTCATATAGCCCAAATAGTAGAAAGACCGCAAAATTCCAGAGATTGTGCAACTGTTAGGAAAAGGGCTTACGTACGTAGGCATCCCAAAAAATAGCCAGGGAGTCTGAAAAAGGCAAAGAGGTACCAAATTGACATGCTAACCACATCCAAAGCTGCCTAGATATCTGGCATCCGAATAAAAGATGAAAAGTAGATATCTTATAACTATAAGTGTGTGTGTGTTGATAAGTTGATTATTGATTAGCTATGTGTATATCATATGGCCACCGTTTTATCAGCTTATGCATTTCCCTGGCCACTTGAAGAAAGTTGGTATAATTGTTTTTTTTTTTTTGGAAATTGTAGGTATAATTGTTTAGATATCCTCTCACTTATTGATTTTAGACCCAGAATTTTCATTTTTCTTATGCTAATGTTTCCTTGTATTGATGCAACTTTTGCTCTAATTTGACAACTTCTATTGCGCTAACATTACTAAACATTTACCATAAATAAATGGTACCAAAATAGAAAACTTAAGATACCAAAACTGCCTTGCCTTCGTTTTGTTGTAGTCTTGTACGTTCTAGCATGTGCATGGACTCATGGTCAATTATCGTGAGCTGGTTTTTGAGCAATGAATTTTGTGGTCCTCTCCCATATGTATCTCAATTCCATGGGAAGAAAGGGGACCATATTTGTACAAATCCTTTTCATCAATGCTTAGAAATACGTATGGACGTACTTACATATGTATGAATGTATGGTTCAATGAAATATTGTATATAATCACACCTCATACAAACTATGACTCTTTTCATTAATATTAGAGCTCATTTCAAAGTGCTTTTAAAATAGTTAAAAGCGTTTTTGGTGAAAATATCTTTGAAGCAGACCTTTATCTCCCTTCGGCTCGTTGGTCCCCTCCTTGCCCCTTCTTTACGAAGTTGAATGTCGATGTGAGTTGGGTTGAGGCTTCTAAAAGTGGCTATGCTGGAGTGGTGGTTAGGAATAATGAGGGAAGTTTTGTGGCTGCAAGAAGAATGCAGATTAAAGCGCCGAATGTTGCAGCAGCGGAAGCTACTGCGATTATGTTTGGCTGTGATTTGGTTATTTCGTTGAGGTTGGATAGGATTATTGTTGAGTTGGACTCGAAGGAGAATATCTTTAACTTGGTAAATGTTTCTTCATCTGGCAGTTGAAGGCCTTCCCCATCCTAGCAAAAATTTTACGCAACTGGGGGAATCCTTTCAGGATTGCTGCTGGTTTTGGATTCCAAGATCGGCCAATATGGCGGCGCATCGGTTGGCGTCGAGGAGTATTACGGAGATGTGCGGTATAACTTGGGTTAATCACCCTCCATCTTCGCTGGTCCATGTTCTAAAAAAAGATGCGTTACCCTGTCCTCCTTAATTTTGTTGTTCTGGTAGTGGAGGGGGCGACACCTTAGCACTTGGTGTAGCGTCTTATGCTTCTGTACCCTCCTCCTCTTCTTTATGTTTGTTGCTTTCTTTGTAGCTTGCCTTCTGTGGGCTTCTTTGTATGTTTGGCTTCGGCCTGGTTATTTGATATTTCCAGTTCTTAAAAAAAAAGAAAAAAAGAGCTGGGTTTCTATGAATCATTTTGTTTTCTTTTTCGTTTTTTCCCCTAAAAAATGAACTAGGTTTTCTTAAATAATTAAATAAATTAATGTAAAAATACAATTTTTTTTTCTCCCACTTGATTTATAGTAATGGTTCCGTGGGTGGTTAATAGTCTTTGGCCATTATTTTGGAGGTTGACCAATATACCCATGTTCGAATATGCCATTGGACTGATTGGAGTTTGAGAGAATGGAGGGGTGACCTTCAGTTATCGTGTGAAAATAATGATCTATAAGATATTTTAAATTAATTATTACTTTTAGATCTAAAAGAATGAGTATCCTTTCCATATCTTCTTTGTGATGATTTTGGAGATCCTTCAATTGTGTCCGTTCATCATATATTATGGAACCAATTTTTATCAGATACTGTTTATATTCAATTTTAAATAAAAGAATTTACAATAATTTCTGATCACATAATATACGATAAACAGATACAATTAAAAGATCTACAGGATCCTCACAAAGAGGATCTGGAGAGAATCCTTATTCGATCCAACAATCCGATTGAAGCACTTTTTCACAAATATTATTTATGATTTGGATGGTTTGACTTTATTAATGTTCCATTCATCTTGCATTTTATAAATAAACCTTTTTTTATATATAATATAATAAGGAAAAATGTAGTAATTGTCTCTCAACTTTAATAAAATTAGAGCAATAGTTCTTCAACTAAAAATTCATCATAATTGGTCCCTTAACTCATCAAAACGTGCAATTATGATCATTTTCATAAACTATGTTAGAATTCCGTCAAAATGAGCTATGTCGAAAGAACCATTACTACAATCAGGTAAAAGTTGAGGAACTATTACTCCAATTGAGTTAGAGTTGAGAGACAATTTCTTCAATTGGGTTAAAGTTGGTGGACCATTGCTATAATTTTTCTCATTTGGTTTTCCATATTTGCCCCTTTATTCAGCTTCATGTGCGTGACACGTAACTCATTTTGGGGGAAGTTTAAATGGAGCTGACGAAAAGGACAATAGCTGCACGTTTTATTGAGTTAAGGGATCAATGGTTATGAATTTTTAGTTGAAGGGGCATTAGGTTAAAGTTGAGATATCATTTCTACAATTTCCACTAATATAATTGACACGAAAATAATAGAATAAGCATTACAATTTGGATGAAAAGCAAACATGGTGCTTGTGCCTAATATCAGTAACCTACTGCACGACAGTGCTCAATTCTAACATAACATTGTGAAAATACGAGGGTAAAGTTCTAAATCGGTGATGGATCAAACAATATAAGAGATTATAAGATGTTGAGTTATTCTCTTATTATCAAGTAATTTTATGATAGAACTTCAACTTTTTATGAGCTTTTTTATGAATTTGTCCATTACCGACATAAAACTTTGTCCTCATATTCTTACAAATATCATATCAAATATGAATGCAAAACTAACATGATCGGAAGAAAATCACGCACAAGGAGCAAAAAAATTAAAAATACAAGATTAGGGAAAATTTAATGGATACCAACAATATAGAATTGCTCTTACAAACTAGATCACGATTTTTAAACAAAAACAAACTGGTGCCTAGGTTTAATTTAGGTAAATCAAACTAATTTTGTCCTATGCTAACCCTAATCAAAATGTAATGTGGCATAGGTTTTCGTTGACACGTGGAGTTTGATTCTTTCCCATCTCCTCTTTTTATTAATAAGCAGATTATGTGAATATTCACAAGTGAGCCATGCATACATTGTCTTTTCCAATAATACAAGTGAAGTTCGGGCTGTATCATAATATTTCCCGCACGCACGAGGGAGCGCATGCTGATATTTTCAAGTGTTGATAACAATTTTTTTAACAATAACGTCTGACACCCAATGATATATTTTAGTTTTAGGAGAAACGTTAATGATACTATCTTAAAGTGTGACTCTTTCTGTACTATCTGTCACCTTACAGTTTAACGTTTAATTCTTGTGCCAACATTATAAAATATTGTGTTAAAAACATGAGTGACAAAGAGTCAATGAAAAATCTTACTTTTGAAAGAATAGATGAAAAGCCGAAATGATACGATTTTAAAATCTCAAGATATAACGCGAAGAGATTTAAATTTAGAACGTGAAATGTTAAAGGTGTACAATATAATTGGCCAAAGATTTGATATCCCCTTCTCTCTCTTATGAAAAAATTAAAGTTGGGCTACAAATAGGAGGTCCATTCATCTGGACCCGATATAAGGTAATGGTCCGACCCGAATCAGCCCGTTGAAGAGTCGAGTTACGCTAAAAGGCTGCTGAGGTAATTTCGCACGTCTGATTTGCCGAAACAACGACCTCCAGGCGTTGTTCGTTAAACTCCAAACCAGAAAAAGTTAGAAACTTGGATCAGCAGAGGGAGAAAGCAATGGAGTCGCCATTCAAGGCGGAGTTACTGAAGGGAAAGGTGGCCTTGCTGACCGGAGGAGCATCAGGAATCGGGTACGAGATTTCGGTTCAGCTGGGCAAACATGGAGCTTCGGTTGCCGTCATGGGCCGTCGTAAGCATGTCATTGACTCTGCCGTCGAAGCCCTTCGTTCTCAAGGCATTTCTGTAATTTTCTCACTCTTTAATTTAACACCCATTTTTTTACTGTAATTTGCTCCAATTGTCGTATATCTGGGTATCTATCAGTATCTTGTGTTTGTGTTGTTTTCTTTGCTGTTGATTTTGTTTTATGGTCTTTGTTCTGTGATGCTTGTTTTCTGTTTGGTTGCTGAGAAAATTTAAAATTTATTTCAGCTGTTTGCTGTGTTTTCTGATCAAATATGTAACTGTGAGTGCAAAAAACATGTATATTCCTCAAATTCTCTAGTCAGAGTAGTTATTCTGTTAAATTTGAGACGGGCTGCAGTCCATCACTGATCACATCGATGCAATTAGAAGTGAAACCATTTGATGTAAGTTGTGATTTATATTGTAAGATAACGTGATTTATTTTGTAAGATGACTATGTGAGATTTTTTGCTCTATTCAACCTGCTCCCCCACGTCGGACCACTTTGAGTTGGGCAGACGTGGAGCTACATCAATCATGTTTGTAAGTGAACCCCATTGATTTGGACCCAGATTTGAAAACACGCACTGGTACCACGTTAAAGTTTTAGAGAGGTGGGCCGTGATCTACCACTAATAGCATCGACATTGTATCCCCACTTAATCACTCATGCAATAAATAGATGTGGGGTTTTTATGCAGAGGGCGTCGATTCAATTATAGGTGAAACATTTTGATATAAGTTGTGTTTTATTTTTTAAGATGGCCGATGTCGGACTTTTGACTTTATTCAACAAAAAATGCCGAATGCTTATGTTTAGCTTCTAACTATTTGCTTTTACTGATTATCTGCAGTGATAAATTTAACATTCCTTACATTATATTGATTCCAATGTGCAAATTGCTCAAGTGTTTGCTGAGATATTGGGATTGTTGTATTTGTTGCTTGCAGGCTATCGGATTTGAGGGCGACGTGCGAAAAAGAGACGATGCAGCTCGAGTTTTGGAATCGACACTGAAGCATTTTGGTAGGCTTGACATCCTTGTGAATGCTGCAGCCGGAAATTTCCTTGTCCCGTCCGAGGATCTATCCCCGAACGGGTTTCGAACAGGTTGAATCTCTACGAGCATAAAAAACATAGCTAGTTAGTTTTACTCCTGTTGAAAAGCTCTTAAGACTGTTAAAACGGATTCTTATTCCGTGAATTGGTTCCTGCAGTTATAGACATAGACGCCGTTGGCACCTTCACAATGTGTCACGAAGCGCTCAAGTATCTTAAGAAAGGGGCATCAGGGAAGAACTCGGCTGCTGGTGGATCGATAATAAACATAAGCGCGACGTTGCACTACACAGCTACTTGGTATCAGATTCATGTGTCTGCAGCAAAGGTTTGTCAAGTAACCGAAAACTTTGCTATATCTTCGCTCCCGTGTGTGTACTTTTGATCAGTCTGTGACCGTCCTGATTGATTCGGGTTCCTCTATGTTACCAGGCAGCCGTCGACAGCATTACGAGAAGCTTGGCGTTGGAGTGGGGCACAGACTACGATATTAGAGTGAATGGTATCGCACCAGGACCTATCGAAGACACTGCCGGTTTCAGTAAACTTTTACCTCAGGAGATGCTGAGCAAACCCAAAGAGCAGATTCTTGTATCCAAACTGGGGAAGAAATGGGATATTGCTATGGCCGCTCTATATCTTTCATCCGATGCAGGTTCGAAATTCATCTCCTTCGTTGAATTATCTGTTTCGAAAATAATCAGTCGATGCTGGGGTTCTTTCGGATTTCTCACTTGTGTGGAGACATGATGTTATTAATTTGTTTGGTGCTTGAAGGAAAATACATCAACGGAACAACGTTGGTTGTAGACGGGGGAGAGTGGCTGACCAAACCGGCGTATTTTCCGAAGGAGGCAGTGAAGCAACTTTCCCGAGCTGTGGAGCGAAGGTCTAGAGACAAACCAGTTGGTGTTGCTAAGAGCAAGCTTTAAACAGTCCCATTTCGCGAGCCATGTTTTCGATAAACATCAGAATAATTTCATTGCCAAAGTGAATTCCCTGTGGAGAACTTGGAAAGATTCATGGCCACAACTTATAAATGTAACATTAGTTATAAGCAGGTGCCAGTCAAACAGTAGAGATTGAAGAGAAGAACAAACTTGATCATGTAATAATATTTATTGGGGAGGCTGGATTATTGATATGCTGATATCTCTTTGTAATCGGAAAATTTATATGATTTGCCAACAAATTCTTCAAATTTAATGTAGGTTAAGATAACCCTAAGCACAATTTCGTAAAACAAAGATTAAAAAGTTCTACATTCCCGCGTTCTTATGGAACTCAAATCTTGATAAGCAAGAAGCATAAGTTGCAAATGTTGTATCCACAAAGATTTCGACATATAAATGATCTTGCACGCACTCCTCGATCTGTTGGTCTGTTTTTTGCTTACATTTGTGGAATTGAACCTAGACCTATCCTAACTAACCGATTATAGCTAACCTCTAAGGCTTCATCATAAAGCAAACCAAACCGAAAAGTAGAGATCTCGAATTATGGAAACTATTTGAAAAAGAATCAAATGGAATCAAGATCCACCAGATGGTTTAAGGAAATGTTGACAATGATGAATTATCCCCAGGAGACATGCGTTACCTAAAGAATACTCCACCTCGGAGCCCACGACTCCCTTTTGGTAAAACACTAGTTTTCGTAAACAGAAAACATAAGCCATTCATAATCACTTGCACTCAATAAGTTTCTTCCATCTAGAAGCTTAAATTATGGAAATAAACCTACCCGTAAAGGTCTACAAGCTTACTTTACTTGGTGATTATAAACATATCAGACCAAAACCTCTAACTCTACAGACCTGGAGTTTTGATATATCGAACCTCCATAAGAGATCGCAATAGCCAATGTGTTCTGGTCCTATATATAACTTACAAGTCTCGCCATTTATCAATTTAGCGGTCCAACCGAACCAATAACACTACTGTATAGTCAAGTGGCAATAGATATAGACTTAATTTTAGCTGTCTATGTCCGTACAATAAACAGAGATACAGATCTTTTGAATATTGGACTAAACTTCAACTAATAAACAATGCTACCTGGCATACGATCCAACCGGACTGCAAACTACTCAGAGAACTGGCTCCTTCTGTTAAGATGATATTAAAGTCTTTGACTGCGGTTCATATTTATATTTTTCTAAACAACCTGAAGATTTTCCAATCAGGTAAACACAACCTCACCCCTAGAACATGGCAAAGGACCAAATACAAGATAAGTAACATCACAAGATAAAGCAAACTTCATTGGCTCTAACAGTTGACTTTACTAATGAATGTTAGCAATCGAATTTGGATATCGAAGTTTAGAATTAATCTGTTGACATATAACAATGTGCAATTACATAAGAAAAGTTTTCCGGCATTCATCACAACGCGGTAGGTATAATTCCCGGCAAACTAAAGCAATTAGACTCGACAACTAGCTCAAATGTTTATTAAGTACAACAAAATTAACAAGCATGTATAGGTAACCAACAAAGACTAAACTCAATTCCACAAAAGTCTATTTTCTTATCTGTCTTTTGTTTTTTCTTTACAAGCATTTAGTACAGAGAAACTTACACATTCAATTCAAGCAATCTTGTTCCTTTCCCATCAGACATCCAAGTTTTCCATCTGAACGTTGCTCTTGAGAGGCACATACTCTCCGAGATACCCACCCAGATGATCGTGCAGAGCGCCCTTGTCAATCCCCTGGTGATGGTAGCTTTTGCAGACGTAGTAAAACACACTCTGCAATAGCAATCCAACCAAATTCACAATCACCAGGACACACACCAAAAACCCACCAACCACAATCCTCACAAAAACCCCGTAATCCTCCCCGCCGTGCACCACCACCGACCCGAAAACCGCACTGATAACCCCGCAGATGGTCAAGTACCCGAAAACGAGCACGAAGGCCATCCCAACCTTCCCCTTGAGCAGCTCATAGCTCTTCTTCATGGCGGCGAACCCGTAGATGGGCTCGAGCACGGAGACCACGCTGGCCAAGTGCCAGAGCGCGGTGATGTAGACGTGGACGACCAAGAAGAGGAGGAAGATGACGATGCCGGAGAAGAGGAGCAGAAATGAATTCTGGGTATCGATGGCGAGGATGAGGAGGACGAGGAAGCCGACGAAGACGAGATTGTAGCAGAACATGAGGAGGGAGACCCAGAGGAAAGTGATGAAGAGGCGCTTGAAGACTTTTGGGATTGCAGAGAGGGTGTTGGAGAAAGAGACGGGCTTGGAGGTGTAGAGGGAGGCGGCGGTGAAGACGACGGCGGCGGTGGAGAGGAGGGAGAAGGCGAAGAGGAAGATGAGGTAGCAGAATTGGAAGAGGAGGAGGAGGGTCCATTCTTGGTGGAGCTGGGCGGGGTCGGTGGAAGGGCCTTGGAGCTGGTTGAGGAGAGGGTGGGTGAAGAGGGAGTGGGCGAGGATGGCGAAGGAGAGAGGGAAGATTAGGGTTAGGGTTATGAGGTAGAAGGTTTTGGGCGACTGTTTGGGGATGGAGGTGGATTCTCTGAGGATGTCAGGGATGGTGAGAAATTGGAGTTCCTCTGGGGCCAGATCCATTTGGATTTGGAAGGTCTGTTTGGATGAAAAGAAAAGAAAAGTTGGGTTTTTGATTGATGGGGTGTTGAGTTTTAGAGAGAGAGAGAGAGATTGGAGGTCTAGAGATTGGGGAAGAAGGCAGGAAGGAGGAAGAAGAAGATGGTGGGGGAAAAGCGGTCATTATTTTATCTAAATGTTGATGTGGATACGTGCAAAGTAATAAGCTTATGTGGCATGTCGGTGATGCATACGAAATTAGATCCGTTCCGAACCTTAATGTCCAGAACTTTAGTGTGAGTTTGATCCTTATCGGTCTCACTCTCCCTAACAACTAATAATTTAACCGACTAACTCTATTGTTTGTGAAAAAAAAAAAAAATCGACTATCAATCTCATGTCCTAGTTTTAGTATTCTTATATTTGCGTTAAGCAAATTGATTAACGTTGTGTGTTCAATATCTTTGTACTAAGTTCTAAATATTCTGTAAATTAGAGGGTTATAGATTCGAGCCCAACCACGCGTTTTTTAAGAACTCAATCAATGTAGTTATAACCCAATTATCTTGTTCAATTCAGATCTAATTTGTTTTACGTTCATGGAAAGATGATATAAGGCTATATGCAAGATATTATTCAATTTGAAAAATCGTTTAATCATCATGGACGTAGGCACGTTAACCACATATTTTTTAAGAACTCAATCAATGTTATTGACACCGGTCATTTTCTTTACGTTCATGGAAAGATGATATATGCAAGATATTATTCAATTTGAAAAATCGTTTAATCATCATTGACATAGGCACGTTAAACACACTTGAATGCCAAAAACCAGAGCAAAGATCACCCTTAGAGCAAGTCCACCGGGGGTGGGATAGGCCGGCACCCAGTGGGAAAAATAGGCTGAGACTCAGCCAATCCACTCCAGCCCGTGGAATCAACTGGCACCTAGCCCAAGCCAGTCCACAGGCCGGCCTAAAATCAACAGACCTTGGGACCGGCTCAAGTGACGCTAGCTGACGCTAGCGTGGTGTCGGAGGGCAAGGAGCCACGGAGGCAAGGCGAAGACCAACTTCCCCACCCCCACTGAGCTCCATCTCGATGTCGTCAACTGAGCTCCATCTCGACGCCGTGGAGTCCTCCTCCCCGCCGTCTCCGCGCCCGCTCGACCTCACTTTCAGAACCCCCCTCTTGTCCATCGACGGCAGCTACTTCACCGCTGCGAGCGGCTTCCGCCCGCTTCCCGCTTCCCGTCCCGTGATCTTCTTCAACGCCTTCGCACGGGCCGACAGCGCCGCCGCCCTCCAGCACGCTCGCGAAACTTGCAGGTTCAACCCCCCCCCCCCGGCGAAAGATCCCCCTTTTTTCTTTCCAGTCCAAGTCTGTTCCTTTTTTATGTAAGAAACAAAACCCCTGCCCAGCTTTATAATAATTATTTTATAATAAAAAATAATTATTTTTATTATTTTATAATAAAAATTAATAATATTTTAATAAAATTGACTAGGCTATTTTTTGTTAGGGGTGGAGATGCATTGGTCTATTACTGTTCATTAGAGTCTATTACTGTTCATTGAAGTGGATAAATGGGCTGGACGCTGGCACAAAGTTTTTAGGGGTGGACTTGCTCTTAGTCTTCCGAGTCCTGATCTACGGCCTCCTCCGGGTAAGGGGTGTCCACCATGAAGAAATCATCGACACGCTTTATAAAACATGCACACAGCACCATAACAACCAACGTGGCCGACACTATGAAAGCTACAAGGGTAAAAGCACTCGCTGCGCCGCCGTAGTTGAAGGTAGCGAGCTGGTTTAAGTCTTTATTTTATCTTTGGTTTTTAAGAGAAGAGATTTTTATTTTTATTTTAAATAGAGATTAGTTGTGGGGTCTACACCACTTCGAATTTTAATGTTTCAAACTGTTTATTTTACAAGTTGGTCCACAATAGATCATCCTTGCAAAATATTGGTCAAAACGGAAATATTTGAGATATCTAATTGAGTTCAAAGAAAATGACGAATACTTGTTCTATAATGAACAATGAAATTTCATTGTGATAATTAAATAGGCAAATGGTTCGGATTAAATTGAATTTTTGCAACGATGATCAATAAATCGAAATTTACAAAATAATACAAAATAGATGATTCAAATCGTTAAAATTCGACGTGAAGTATGCCTTATAACTAGTTCCTATTTTTAACCAAAAATAGAGATCCTTTGGATAAAGGGTCTGATACAATGGCGCGCAAGAGCCTTGGGTTTCTTTTTTTTTCTGAAATGCACTTTATTACCAGATTGAGAACCCTATCATGTTTACAGACCGTTGACAAAATTACATCTACGGTTCATGTCAAATTTGGTTGTCTCTTCATTTCCCTCTTGCAATTGACATGTTAAGTACCGCGTGCTACTATTCCGAACAAGTTAAAATTTGTGCTCTGGAAGGCATGTCGACATTCTCCCTACTACTGTAAATCTATGTAAGAAGTGTATGGTGATGGACATTGCTTGTATTTTTTGCAGTTCCCCCTCAGAGTTGCCCCTGACATTTCTATAGAGGGATAACGCTAAGAAGACTAAATTTGCAGACTACATGAATGTCACCAATAGAAATAAACACGTTTATCACCATTTAAGTAATAAACCAATCATCAACTTCCATGTCCTTTAATTTTCAAAATTAAGTCTCTCTAACATTACCTTTTCATGAAGTATCCTTCATTAAAGCTGTGCTCTATGCCTCCTCACTACTTTTTTCTCTTTTTAGGTGAAATGTTTAATGAGAAAACAGAAAATCAAGCTTCACATGAACTCTCTCTTTGTTTAATACATATGAATGGTTAAACAATTTGCAAATTGAAGGTATTTCTGCAAATATATTTCTTTAGATGATGCTAAAAAATCTAAATAATTAACAAACTGCTAAGATAAGTAATAAAACCATTAACTCTGGAAATTTGAATACCACCCTTACATCCAAGTTTAAATCCAAATTAATTATTCCTTAAAAATGTTTATCAACTTTGCGAGAAAAGAAAGTAGTGTTTATAAGGGCTGATGAGACGCTCCTTGCAGTATCTGAGGATTTTCCTTTAATTCTATGTTGCACACAAGTAACAAACGATATGGATGCTCAAGGTAACAAGAATAGAACGTATTATTATGGGTTTCTTCCAAGTGCTAGGCTTTGACAAGACGTCCTGTGTCTCTGTGTGCAATATTTTTGTAGCAGTATCATCTTCCAAGGCTTGGACTGGTATTGTTGAAATGAAGCGTTTTTCTTCATCGAGTTCATCCCAGAGGTACACCAAAATCACTGCAAAGTCAGAAGCTCAAAGTAAGTGTTTTTAATCAACTGGATCTTCTTTCAACTGTAATCAGATGTTATCGACACTTCAATACATGTATTATCATGTCCTTTTTATGCGTATTTTTTTTATGTTTTATGAAGAACGAGTGTAAAATATTTTTTTTTAGAGTAGCTAGCCACTGACAGTTGCCTTTGGTGAAATACAATTTGGTTAATGTAATAATAATTGAAAAATTAAAAAAAATTTAAGCATGATCCCTGCAATAAAGACATGATAATAACCATCTTAGAATGTTACTCTTACCGTATTTTTCATATCATATTTGCATGAAAATATGATAAGTGTAGCATTACGGTAACCATGTTAGCTAGCCTCAGTTGTACTTACATAATGAGATGGATAAGAAAGCCTATTGGTGGTTAATGAGGGAAAAACATATCAGTGGCTAAAATAACTCCATTTGTCACTAATAGAGATCTTACACACACCTCATTCTATGCAGTTAATGTTATTTTCTATTTTCAAGTTTTCTTGATGAAAATTTGACATGTAAATAAATGTAAGAACGATGGATGAAAGTACATAAAAAAAGAAAAAAAAAATTATAATTGATCACTATATATCACAAACATAAAAGAGTATACGTACCGAAGATGGTAAGTTCAGCCCAGGGTCTGTAACCCTCGAAATGTTCGGAGTCATAAAACTCAACCATAAGACACGTAAAAATCATATGGATCAGTACTATGATTTTCAGCACAAAGGACCTCTTTGGGTGATTGAACAAGTCATCAAAGTCTTTCATGATCCTTGTCGTCGGCTTCAAAGCATTGACATTCTTGGTTGACATGAGTCCTAGGATCCGAAACAACATCAACCATACGAGATAAAAAAGAAGAAGGGGCACTGCCACCTTTTCCATCATGCTTATGGAACATGCCATACAACTTGCAAGGAATCGATGAATGATGGAAGAGGGCAAGGATGTACCTATTATGGATGAAGGTAAGGATGTATATGTGTGTGTGTGTGTCCGCGTGCGCGGGGGATTGTAATTGGACTTTTGATTCAAGGCCGTGTATATTGTTCATAAATGGTTGATTTTGGGCATCTTCAAATCAATAAAGGTTAGGCATTCATTCATATCTTGTGCTTTAACTCTTCACATGTTTTTGATGGCATGCTTTTTTACTTGGAATGAGAAAAGTCATGAACTCGGGAATGGAAATGGATTAATAAATCTAATCCTAGTGAGTTCAAGTAATGAGAAACTTATGAATACCGTGTGGTGGTAAACACAAAGAACTTCATGAATGAGAATAATTTCATGACGTTATTCTGTATAATACTTGCATCCATCCAAGCTGACGAATGAGTCCTTAAATATCACATAAATGCTAGATTTTGGAGATGTGGATGCTGTTGGAAATGTGCCCTAAAACCAATCATATGATGATACTTTACGGACATTTCAAATGTTAAACTAATCTAGTTTAACATATAAAGGGCAAAGATTATTGTTTGAGCCGTCTCATATAAATGTTATATGCTTAAACGATAAAGTCCAAGGAATATGTGATTGGGAGAATGCAATCTAATGAAGTTAGATTAATGAGACCATTCTTTCGTAGACACATCCTAAATGTTCCTGATCATAGGATTACTAATTGGGCATTGACAGTCCGTTAAGATCAGTACGTACTGTGTCTTCTCTCAGGGAGAGTGACTAGTCTCGAGTCATTGGTGTGTGTGACATCAAGACAAGTACGTAGGTGCTCAATAAGAGAATGAGTTCACTGAACGTGATCAACGAAGAGTTCTTATATTCCATGTCACATGAGAACTCATGG